GTTTTTAATAATAAAATTATCTCCATTTTAACACTTGTTCTATGAGAAAACCAGGCAGAGGGGGGGGGGGGGTGTCACTCACTTTAATGAAATTTTCTGAAAGGACTCCTGCAATATAGCATATGATCACAAGAAAAAAAAACATGAAGTCAATATGCATTTCAGATTCTATGAATAGTAACTCAAGTCTTTATGCTGTTATATACTTAATCATGTGATCAAGTCAGAGAGCTTAGAATAAAAGGTGATATCACCTTTTTGTGCTAAATAGGTGCTATCACCGATTTGAATAAGTGGTATCAGCTATTCGAAAAGGTGATATTACCTATTTGAGTTTCTTACAACAGTCATTAATGAATGTTCCCTATAATATATGGATTACCACTAGAACCAAGAAAATTCGGACTACCCAGTTTTCATGCGTTTTCTACGGTTTTCTTGTTGTTTACATTATATATAAGTGAAATAAATTAATTTGTAAGCAAAAAAAAAACTAAAGCTGTTCGACAGGAAAAAGGTGATATCACCCAATCGAATAGGCGATATCACCTTTTCGAATTGGTGATACCACAAATTCAAATCTATTGGAACAGGTGATATCATAGGGGATATTACTTTTTGCAGTAAATACCAAAACGAGGCCTCATACCTATGAATTAAGTCACAGTAGTGAAATCCCAATCATAAATATGTGTTTTTATGCTGTTGAATTTTGAACCGGTTTCATGATCAAAATTCAACGACCCGGCTCAGTTTTCAACGGATTAGGGTCTAAATTCAACACCTTTGGTCTCAGTATTCAACGTTGAAAAATGACCCCCGGGTCAATTTTCAACCCGGGTCAAAATTCAACGTTACACCGGTGGGACATTGTCCCTAGTCAAAGTGTGAAAATTAGCGACATCAATCAACCAAACTTGTAAGAGATTTATTAGGACCCGACACTCCAAACCACACTTTAAGTAGATATGTTTTTTGCATAGAGCAGATTAATATCTGATTTGAATTATGCAAGTAGTTGTAGAGTGTTTCGGCTATTAAGATTTTACTAACATTTACAATGCTCTAATAAACGGTCAGTGCAGCATTAGGAAATTACCACCTGGTAGACCAATTATCTCGCAGTGCGATACACCAACGAGGAAAATAGGACAATATTGCGATTACTTTCTGGTACCTAATGTACAAAAACAATCAACTTATATTAAGGACACTACGGACTTTATCACCAAAATCGAAAGCCTTACACTGCCAACCAACGCATTATTCATTACTTATGATGTGACGAGCATGTACACAAACGTGGAATTCAACGAACTTCTCTCATCAGTAAATGAGGCTTACACACAGGCCAATAAAACGCAAATAGACATTCCATATCCGGACCCTGAGGATCTAAACTTCTTACTGAAATGCGTCTTGGAAAACAATTACTTTGAATTCGATGGAAAATATTACAAACAAATAATAGGAGCAAGTATGGGGGCAGTCCCCAGTCCAGAGATCTGTGACATCAGAATGTATCAAATCACAAAGCATATGATGGCACAATTTCGTCATGCCAGCAAAATTGTCTTCCACGGCAGATACCGTGATGACGGTTTCATAATATTCAATGGAACGCAACCAGAGATAGAAGAATTCTTTAATATCGGCAATCACTGTCACAAGCATCTCAGATTTACATTTGAAATTTCTCCATCTGCTGTCAACTTCCTTGATACTACAGTTTATAAAGGACAGAAATTTCAAAATTTTAACAAACTTGATATCAAGTCCTTTATCAAACCAACAAATAACTTTCAGTATCTACACAGACAGAGCGCTCATAGCCCGGCTGTGTTTAAAGGATTCATTAAAGGAGAATGCATTAGACATGCAAGAAACACTACTGACCCTGAAATATTACATGCAACACTTAATGACTTCAAGACGCACTTATCAAAGCGAGGTTACTCTATCTCGGAAATTGATCCTATGATCAAGGAAACGGTCAACACAAACCGATCAAAACTCATCATCAAAAAGACTAAAGAACAGTCATAACGTAACCCTACAGTACTGGTTACTAAATTTAACCCTTGCGTTAAAGGACTGAAAAAACGAATTCTAAAATATTGGAACACCATTCTTAGAAATCCAGAATGCAAAACCTTATTTCATTCTCAACCAATCATTGCTTACAGCAAACACAAGAATATAGGTGACGAGATAATCCGGTCTCACCTAAAACAAACACCATGATTCATGTCCGTGACCCCTGATGAGGCTTCTTAATAGCCGAAACACTCTACAACTACTTGCATAATTCAAATCAGATATTAATCTGCTCTATGCAAAAAACATATCTACTTAAAGTGTGGTTTGGAGTGTCGGGTCCTAATAAATCTCTTACAAGTTTGGTTGATTGATGTCGCTAATTTTCACAGAATGCAAAACCTTATTTCATTCTCAACCAATCATTGCTTACAGCAAACACAAGAATATAGGTGACGAGATAATCCGGTCTCACCTAAAACAAACACCATGATTTATGTCCGTGACCCCTGACGAGGCTTCTTAATAGCCGAAACACTCTACAACTACTTGCATAATTCAAATCAGATATTAATCTGCTCTATGCAAAAAACATATCTACTTAAAGTGTGGTTTGGAGTGTCGGGTCCTAATAAATCTCTTACAAGTTTGGTTGATTGATGTCGCTAATTTTCAGGCAATGTAAAATTGTGTAAAGTGACAAAAAACATATTTAAAAAAATGATTTATTACTTTTTTTTTATCATAATCCATTACTTTAAACATAATTCACACATAATATTTTGTAGGATTTTAATATGCTCTTGAATGATTTATTATGAGAGTTTTCAAATGGTTTTTTTTTTTCATGGTTTCTCGTCAAAAGCAACCGTCTTTGTATCAGTACATTTTAAAGCATACTTTTGCCTTAATACAGAAACAATGCAGTTCAAGTAACTTATTTATTTTCTGTACATAAATATGACACTAAAGCACAAGATGATAGAATTATTTCTCATCTCTCCGACTGCATTCCATGTTAAATAGATATTTTTTTCAGGTTAACTTCCTGAAATCTAGATAGTATCATGAAAAATACATTTCAAAGCAAAACTTTATAGATTCAGACAATAAATGTAAAAGAATTTTCTTTTCAATGGTTACAATTAACTATGCTGAAAGATAAACAATACATTATTTTCCGATCCTTTCACATGATTTCTTTATACAGTTTTAAGAATTTTTCAGCGCTGCATTTCGAGAAAACCAAAGCAAGTATGGTAAATGTACAAACAATTTAGAAAAATACTGATATCTGTAAAAAGTTAATTTGAGCATTTCAACATTTCAACCATATAGCTATAGAGAAATTTCGATCAATTAATTTGTAAATACCTATAATGGAATCATGCACATTTAACATCATACATATACAATTTACAAACAAATTCCCTTTTAGAACATTGACTTTTAAACTTAAGATAAAGAGTTATTTTAGAGAATATGCACCTTTAACATGAAATGTTTGATGAAATAAGGGTTATGTCTCGTAATGAAACTCGATAATATATATTGTGTAAGTTTAATTGCATGAAAAATTTGATCTTAATTTGTGCGAAAAACCGTGTGAGATTAAAAAGTGTGTTGAGCTGTATATTGTCTATTATAGTAGCAAGAAATAGGAGCCTGGAGTAAATGAAACTGAAGTTTTTTTTCCCATCATCATGACCAGTCACGCAAAAGAGCAAAATTTTTTTTACCTAAAATACCAGGTGTATACGGTTTAAAGGAAATTTTTGTTCTTTCCTTTTGCCCTAAATACGACTTAGCTAATTTAATATTGTGTGAATTCAAAGAAAAAATTAATACATTTTTAAACAATCTATTATGACTGAGAAAGTTTACTGTGCAAAATTTTTTTTGACCTGGGAACAGATGAAAAATTGATTTAATTGGCGATTCTAATTGCACATGAGATAAGGAATATAGAGGGGAAGTGTTGTGAATCTAAACGGGGACCTTTGATAAAAACGTTTAATACTGCTAAAACAAAGGATAAGACTTTTAGTTTCTTTCGAAAATTACAAAATTATAACATGCCAAATCATGGTCAACAAGAAAAGAAAATAGAGGACTTTTATTTGATTTGGGAAGAAGGCTGGAAAAGTAGATGATGACCCTTGAGTATTCTGAGATTAGCTAATAATGGACTCCTGAAATAATATTCAGCAATATTCAGCATTAAGATATAAGGTGGTGCACGGGTCATGGTAAAAATGCTTTTAAAATTCAAAGCGCAATATTATTATTTCTTGAAATGATAATTTTAACATTAAAATTTTAGCAATTAAAATGGTACATTTATCATTAAATGTAACTATAATAATTTATATAATTATTTTTTTTTAATATTCAAATTACGTAATCTACCAGTATATCTTTCTAAACACTGTTCAAGGTGTATTGATAATTTGACATGTTTTGTGTATATTATTTTTTTCTACTGAGCATTTATTATCATTGTCAATATACATGTATATCTAGTCTTCAGTTTTATTTGTTGATATTCCTTAGCAATATAAAAGGTTTTTTTTCTATACATGTACATCGTTGTAAAAGATTTGTAAATGTTAAGTATGGAGAAGTTTTTAATTGGAACTTGTGTCCACCACCTTGACCTATTGCCCTTCAAATGTCTTATTAAATATATTTACCTATATATAGCTATTATTTTATTTAATTTATTTACCAATCTAGTTATTATTTCGCGCATTCAATATAACTTATTACGATGGATGATATCATTGGAGAATTTTTATAATTATCATCGATAACAATTTCCACACAAATTTAACAAAAAACTTGTAACCTTGTTTATTAATCACACGCTTCACGCTTAATATATATTTAACTTGTCATTTATACTTCTTCTTTTAAATATTATTCTTGATTTGTTATTCAACAGTTTCACTAGACCTTGTGACATGGACCCATTGGATAGAGCTAAAGTATTCCTCCTCTGTGATCTATGTCAAAGAGCTGCATTACAGAGTCACTGTGAACTTTGTCAGATTAACCTGTGTAAGGCCTGTGTAGGGGAGCACCTCTCTGATTCTTCTAAAAGGCACAACGTTGTACCATACAAATACAGAACAAAGGTTCTTTCCTATCCTTCAGTAAAACCACTGCTTGATGAACAAAAGCTCCTCACCACCATAGACACCGGGCTTGAACTACTAGACAGTGTTACCCGTCTCAATGATGAAAAAGTTTGGACATGTGGATTTGACAATATAATACAACTCTTCAATATCCAGGGCAGACTAAAGGAATCAATCCAAACCGAGTTTTGGCACCCAGAACGTGGCATAGCGGTGACAAAGAGCGGAGATCTAGTTTGTATTGACCAAGGTACAAAAACTGTGAACATAGTGAAGAATAAACAGATACAGGAAGTGATCAGATTACTACGAAGATCTTGCAACGTATGTAGTACCTCCTCCAAGTACAGTGATGATTATAGACAATATAGACAATCCAAAGTTGTCCGTTACTCTCAGACTGACTTCAAAGAGAAACAATCCATTTAGTTTGATGACAATGGTCAACCTCTATATTCATTTGGTAGTCTTACGGATATCGATGAGAACAGGAACCTGGATATCTGTGTGGCTGACATTGAAGCAAATGCAATAGTTGTGGTTAATATGTCAGGAGAACTACGATTTAGATACACTGTGCCATCACAACAGACAGCCAGAGTCAGATCCTGGTCATCAGATAATGGTACCCACTGTATCCACATCCTAGATCAGGACAGTTCCTTGGTTACATTGATTCTAGTTACCTATACGATCCACGTGGTTTATGTGTAGACACAAAAGACAATCTTTTTGTGACTGAGTGTCGTGGTGTTGTGAAGATAATAACATATATGTAAACAATGTGTTAAATAAATTATCACCTTAACAATTACCTCTATTTGTTTAAGGTAGGATTCTTCTCACACAAAACTGTATTTCTTGTTTTAAAAAATTAATGAAATTTTCACAGAATGAAGAAGACAATATAACTAAGTGATGGTATCAGTTAGATTAGTTTTTACCGTTTTATATTAGAGTCAAGGTCTGGTCAAGTTCATTACCTTTTCCCTGGTCGTTAAGAATAAAAATAACTGCATCCAATCATGAGACAGGGTCTTCTATTTCAAAACATTAAATATTTTCCTTCTTGCATACAAAGATATTACCCTATAAGATCTATAAGGTGATATTACCATATTGACACAAATCGTTTAACAAAACAGGATTTTGGCTTATCCGAATTTTCTCCATTTTTCACAGTTTTTTAGGATAATTAAGTTATTTTTATACGTGCCCTATATTTAAATTGTTTCTTATTTTCACATATGGTAATTTAAAAGCAGCAGTCATAAAGAGATACAAAATGATGCAAAAACAAAACGGTTTCACTGTTAAGTAAGTGTAAAAATACTTTTTATAGATTTTTGGCTCATACCCGTACTAAGAATGGAAGCTTTTAAAAGCTAACATGATTGTAAATTGTTTGGAAATTTATATTTATTTGATATATTTTAAATCTTTAATTCCTTATTGTTCATATAGCTACCATTTGAAAAATTCTTCTAGTCTTTGATTGTGTAAAAATTATAACTAAATTCGAAGTTCTATGATAATTTTGAGAGGCAGAAAAGAAGATATTTTCATACGCTACCATTCCGCCAAAAATACTGCTCAAGCTAGTTATCAAACACCGAAGTTGTGATGAGGAAAGAAAAATATGGTCTTTTAAATCTCTCTCACCTAAACTTATAAGAAAGATTGAATATTTCAGATACTCAGAAATCGGAGAAGAATCCAAACTTAAGTACACGGCAATGCATTCATAACCTTACTTTAACTAAGTAATGCAGTGTCATTACCACTATTTTGGAATATTTAGGAAAATAAAAATACATAACGTTGCAGCTATTTCATAAACATCTTTTATCTCAATGGGGATAAATATCTTTCTTTCAAAATTAAAATTTAACCCAGTAAGTCATGTAAAGTTTATTTTAATTAAGAGTGACAAAAATTAAATACATTGACAAACTTATAGATTAGGTCTGTCATTGTAACGCTTCATAAAGTAGAATGTCTGTCCCCTATTCTGGTACATTTGAACGACACGTAAGTGGCATATTAATTCGAGTTAAAGCAATGCATTACATTTTATTACTTTAACACTTAGCATTACTAAAACCTTGTGTGAAATAATACGCAGCACTCTTAAGGCTTAATGTGAAGAAATCAAAGGAGAATAGACAGAGTGACGTTTTCAATACAGATTTTTTGTAAAGCTATTAGATATCCAGATTATTTTAATATATTAAGAAATAAATTGTACATTTCACTGTATAAAAATCTAGTATGGTCACCTTATTTGAAGGTTAAGTCTGATAAATGCTAACACAGTATTATGTGGACTACCGGTTTATCCTTATAGAGGTCATACACAAAATTTGAATTTTCCAATCACATATTTCGAAGGGGATGCTGAACTTTAAATTCTTCATAATGTAAACAAGGCTCGCTTGTGCCTTGTGTTTTTTTTTTTGTTTAAATATATATAGTTACATAGAAAATATATTTATGACAAAACAAGATTCAGTAAATAACTTGAAACTGTCTAATGAAATTTAGAATTAAGTTCTATAATAAAAAAACAAACTGCTTAGAACAATCACATATCTAGTATATTTAATCTATGTAACAAAACACGACACGGACCTTGTTTACATATAATAAAGGGTTGGATCTCTAAATCTGCTTTGTATCTTGACAACTGAAATTCAAACTTTTGTTAATCATTAAAAATAAGTATTTACAGACATAAAAAAAACCCGGAAAAATAAATCTGAAACCTGTCCATATCCCTTTCATTCGATATATTTTTTCTTAAGAAAAACTTCCTTAATTTGCCTCTAACAGCACATGAAAAACACACGTTTAAAGTCATGTCGACAAGTAAATTGCAACCAGGAGGCCTTGTTTGTTTAAAAGCTGCTGTGTCGGATTTAAGTAGCAACAAAAGGTAAAGGATAGGTAAGATTTTATGTTGTTTATTACGCTAACAGCAAACTATTTCATTTTCTTGTATTATGAGGAATTGATTTTTGATGTGCTGTCACAGTAAACTTTTCATGTGAAAACAAGGTCCCGTACCCTTTATGCATCCTTAAAAATGCTGCATAATAAAAATTTAAATCATGCAATTTTTCAATAGAAAAGAATTTTATGAATAACAATGATTAAAAATCATGCACCAGTGGGATACTTCTTTGAATAGTTCCAATCAAATAATCCAATCTCAGTGCTTATGAATTTTCGAGGTGCAAATATACTATTTTTATCAGAAACCAAAATGAAAAAATCGTTAGTTGTTCATACTCTTTCATATCTTTCACAAACCACACAAACCACACCACACGAACTTTCCGTTTTTTGTCAATCAGATAAGGCTAAAAAGCTGCCAATTTCAATATCCAAACAATTAAGCTACCCTTTGCGTCGCAATTTAAAAAATGATTTACTGACCTACCTATATTTGTATAAAGTAAATGGGAGGAACCATCTAATGCAAATCTTGTGACCAGTCCAACGCAAATACGTCGATGCAGCTTCTTTTAGGAGTTCAAAACAAAGAAACAATTACATTTTGAAATTATTGTAATTAAAAAAAATATAACAAGCGTAAGGTCTCCAGGCCTTATTAAAAAATGCAAAAATATGATTGCTTAGGCCGGTAATTTTAAATCCCAAACTTTGCATACAACATCTGCGTCTACGTCTTGATCTCGTTTAACCAAAGATTTAGATATTTGAATATTTTGAAATGAATAAGACAATGAGCCTTTATTATTTCAAACACTGGTGTGACTGTTGTTCACCCCTGTTTGAAAAGTATGGCCTTTATGGATCTAAAAGACTGCTGAGGCACTCTCGAGCATTCAGGAAATCAGAAATCAGTAGAAGAATCGTTAAGAAGTCAGAAGTAGGAAGTGTCAAAAGAGGAATAGATAATTTATAAAGTGACATTCTGAAATCAGTAGAAGAATCGTTAAGAAGTCAGAAGTAGGAAGTGTCAAAAGAGGAATAGATAATTTATAAAGTGACAAACATAAGGGAAGTTAAAAAGGCTAGGGTAAAAGAAGAAGCACAAGTGAAAGATAAACCAGGGGATAAGGAGACACGAGGTGCAGTAATCCTTAAAAAGGGTGCGACACCGAGAACTCTTAGAACTTGGTTGTGGAACACTGTCCAAGGTACCCAGCCAGCCCAACATTGTTCAGTAAAGAGAACCTCGGCTCGTATAAAAAATAGAACCCAAGGACAAGTAACCCAGTAAATCAAGAATAATCATCGTTGTAAATTATTTTGATTCATAGTATTAATTTTTTGCTCAGATAGAGGAAAATTTTATTTATACTGATGTAAAATTAATAAACTGTATTCCTTACATATCACAAGTTATCAAACAATTTGTGTAAATACAAAAAGCAAGAGATTGTAAATCCGAGTTCATACAACCGATCTGAGAAATTCTAACGATGTTTTGATTGTATGTGTATAGTTTTACAAACGTCTTTTCTAAAGCACAACCAAAAGTTTTCATGAATATTTCAACTGTTTTAAGTTCAACCACATACTCTGTCTGATTTGTCCCACACATCCATAAGGTTCATAAACCCTTTGCTCACTCATATAAAATGTTGCTTGAACCTTTAAGATTTTCCAAAAGAAAAGTAAAATGCAAATAATTATAGCTTAGCTTGCGGTGCAAAATTGGGCAAAAAAGACGCCTCAACTTGACAAATATTCAAAGGAATAATAGACATTTATGTCATTAAGAGTTATCTCTGTTATCAGATAATTGATAAACCTAAAAAAAACTTTCTTAATAGAGTCTAATCTTAAGCTTTCTGCTGGACTCTTTGTGTTAAGATTGTCGCTATCTGCTGGACTTTTTGTGTTGAGATTGTCTCTATCTGCTGGACTCTTTGTGTTTAGATTGTTGTTATCTGCTGAACTCTTTGTGTTGAGATTGTCTTTATCTTCTGGACTCTTTGGAATGAGATTATCGTTATCTGTTGGACTCTTTGTGTTGAGATTGTCTTTATCTCCTGGACTCTTTGTGTTAAGATTGTCGCTATCTGCTGGACTCATTGTGTTGAGATTGTCAGTATCTGCTGGACTCTTTGTGTTGAGATTCTCGTAATCTGCTGGACTCTGTGTGTTGACATTGTCATTATCAGCTGTACCCTTTGTGCTAATATTATCGTTATCTGTTGGCCCTTTTGTGTTGTGACTGTCATTATCTGCTGGACTCTTTGTGTTGAGATTTTTGCTATCTGTTGGACTCTTTGTGTTGAGATTGTCATTTTCTGCTGGACTCTTTGTGTTGAGATTGTGGTTATCTGTTGGACTCTTTGTGTTTAGATTGTCGTTATCTTCTGGACTCTTTGTGTTGAGATTGTCGTTATCTGTTTGACTCTTTGTGTTGAGATTGTCATTATCTGCTGGACCCTTTATGCTAATATTGTCGTTATCTGTTGGACTCTTTGTGTTGAGATTGTCATTATCTGGTGGACCCTTTGTGTTGATATTGTCGTTATCTGTTGGACTCTTTGTGTTGAAATTGTTGTAGTCTGCTGGACTCTTTGTGTTGAGATTGTCATTATCTGCTGGACATTTTATGTTGATATGTCGTTATCTGGTAGTCTCTTTGTGTAATTTTACCATTTAACATTCGTAGTAATGAATGATTTGATTATTATATCATAATTCCATCTCATTGTAAAAACAGGGCTCAATATTGAAATAAACACTGAATATTCGTTTCAGTACAATAACCCATATAAGTTCTAGTAACATTGGCGGTAAAAGCAAATTAGAAGTGGGGGATAATTCAAAAAGAAAAAAAATTCCAAACTAAAAAGAAATTGACAAGCAAATAAGAAAAAAATGACCATTCTCCAAACGTGAAAATCCTATTTCGAGGGGTGGTTGTTTGTGTTGGTTCGGGGAGTTAACAATTTTCCCAAACACTACCACTTACCCTTCTTTGAATACACTGAAAGGTGCCTGTGAAGATGGGGGGGGGGGGGGGGCTACGTCCAAAATTTCAATGCCTATACATGTATTATGTCTAACTTTGAAAAAAGAAAAAAGAAATTGACAAGGCAAGAAAAGGACTCGCAATAAAAGGGCTGTTTAAGGAACTGGAAAAAAATTCATTTAGTAAGTAACTTTCCTTTTAAACTCTAAACAAGCAAATTAAAAGAATTTTGGTCCCCCGCTTTCGGTGGTGTCTTTTTGGGTGAGATATCATTTTTTATGACATTTTATGTCTAATATGAACGCCCTCTCATAAGTCATCTATTTAGAAATTATCACTGAACTCCAAGGTCGAGATCAAAGAATGAAAAGTCTTCTCAAAAGGATTACATATGTGAAGTATGAAAGTTCAAAAGTTATGGTCTAGGTTAAAGTTTTTCATAAGTACAAAAAATTTCCACGGTCAAGGTCAAAAGGTCAAGGTTGTTGGTATCAAATGAAAGGTCTTGCCACAAAGAATACATATGTGAAATATGAAAGTCCTAGTATGTACAGTTCAAAAGTTGTGGCCAAGGTCACAGTTTTTAAAAAAATAGTTCAAACTTCAAGGTTAAGGTCCAAGGGGCAGAGTTCTTGAAATTCAATGAAAGGACTTCTCACAAGAATTAGATATATGAAGTATGAAAGCCCTAGCCCTTACCATATAAAAGATATTGTCAAGGTTAACGTTTTTTCATAAGTATAGAAATCTCCAAGGTCAAAAGATCAAAGTTTTTGGTATCCAATATCCAATTGGTATTAAATCTGAAGAAATTACATCAGATTTAAACTCTGAAAAAATCAACTTGGAAAAACTTTATGAGAAACTGACAACAGCTGTCACCAAACAAGGAGAAGAATGGCACAGAGAAATTAACATCATTGTGAACAAACAGAAATCTGAAATTGATGTGATGAAATCTAAACACTTGGCTACCCTAAATAAACTGAAAAATGAAATCAAACAAATTGCTTCTAAAATGAAAGAGAATGTAATTGAAGTGAGGAAAATATTAGATTCAAATGACGTCTCCCTAGCCTTTACATACAAATCAAGGAATGCTGAATTCAGAAGTTTACCTCCTAAAGTCAACATTTCATTACCAAGTTTCTCTCCTCATCAGATCAACACAGAGCAGCTCCTTCAAATGTTTGGTTTTGTGTCAGCATTATCCATTACAACAGAGAAACAAGGCTACACAATGAAGACACCAGAAGCTGTATCCTGTCTTCCAGTCAAACCACTGCTTGATGAACCAGAGCTCCTCACTACCATAAACACTGGGCATAAATATGTACACAGTGTTGCTTGTCTCAGTGATGAAAAAATCTGGACACACCATAATGACAAAATCATGAAACTCTACAACCTCCAGGGCAAACTACTGAAGTCAATCAAAATCAATTCTGGGAACATACCAAGGGACATAGCAGTGACAAGGAGTGGAGATCAAGTTTATACTGACCCTCGTACAAGAACTGTAAACATAGTGAAGAATAAACAGATACAGAAAATTATCAGACTACTGGGGTGGATACCTTACTTTGTCTGTAGTACCTCCTCTGGTGACCTCCTGGTTATCATGGATAGTGATGATGGAAAACAAACAAAAGTTGTCCGTTACTCTGGCTCCAAAGAAAAACAAACCATTCAGTTTGACAGTGAAGGCAAACCTCTGTATTCATCTGGTTACATTAAATACATCAGTGAGAACAGGAACCTGGATATCTGTGTGGCTGACAATTTAGCCAGTGCAGTAGTGGTGGTTAATCAGTCAGGAAAACTCCGATTTAGATACACTGGTCATCTCTCTACTACCAAGGTATCATTTGATCCACGTGGCATCACAACTGACAGCCAGAGTCAAATCCTGTCGGCAGACTTTGATAACAACTGTATCCACATTCTAGATCAGGACGGACAGTTCCTCCGTTACATCGATAATTGTGGTCTACAGCATCCATATGGTTTATGTGTAGACATCAGAGACAACCTCTTTGTGACTGAACTTGACAGTGGTAAAGTGAAGAAAATCAAATATGTGTAAACAATGGGTTTTGAATAATGAAATATTTGTGAGAGAAACTTTTTCCAGTGTCACAAATCACAAGAATATATAGTTTGATTCAGGTTCACTTTCTCGTGTTCATATATTTGTGTAAAATAATCTAAATTATATTATTATCAATAAGGTATAAAATATAAATTATAATTTATAAACAATTTTATTATAATTCTACCCAAGGTTGAAATAACTGCCAAATAAAGACCCAACATTAGAAGAAACTTTCAATACCTCATGAAAAATACCATTTACTGCGGTTTCATCAATTTTCGTTGCCATCATGGATTTTGTAAAAACAGACGTTTTCAAGGATAAACAATTTTGTGGACTAAAGCATTGCCTATACATATAAATATTGTATTTCTCAATTCAAAGAACATTGAATTTCATGGATCTGCTCAACAACAAATTCCTCAAAAATTGGTGCTCAACGAATATTGATGAAACCACAGTATATTTGTGAGAATGAAGAAAGAAAAAATATTATTATGTACATTTTAATCGATTTGACCCTCTATCATGCACTGCACACTGTGGAGTTCTGATTATACAGGACTTTTGATGCGGTTAGAATCTGACCTTTGATCTAAAATAAATCTGAATCCTTTTAATCTAGTTATATGTTACTTATTAGAGGACATTAATTAACCAAAATAAATTAATTAAACACTTTATTAGATTTTTTTCTTGGACACATCGGACACAAAATAACACAAACAGAGTTTGACTGTGTATGTAATCCCAAAACAAACACGATAAACCTGATTCAGAAAACTTTTTATTGTAGATGTTTTCTTTTTAATTCACATACATCTTGAAATACATGGACAAAAATGATTTCAACAGATATTAATAGGTCAAGTTCCATGCAAGGTCAAGTTATCAGCTCAATAAGTCCATAGTCAGTAGAACTTAGCATTAAAAAGTCGTATCAAATTTTATAGACAACAATCATTTCACTATAGAGAGGCAACTGTTTCTGTTTTTTATAACTTGTAAGCTCCCTGTGTTGAGCCTCAGTAGTCTCCTTACTCTCCTTATGAGGGCCTCCACAAAGCTGTAGTGGGTCCTGGACTTATAGTATTCCTAAACAATCAATGGTATATAAAAACAAAGACAGTTTTCATAATAAAGTGATGAATTAAGCATAGCTCAATAACAGTACAATGTATTTCTCAATTTAAAGTATTCATTGTTATAAAATGCCATCTGGATCAAGTTGTACTCTATTATGGCATAAAATCTGCTAATTCTAATGTTCCATAGGATAAGCAAATATCCATTAATCATCTAATCTCATAACACATCGAACCAATTTTAAAGCAGGCTGGAGGAAAAGGATGGACGAAACACTTTTTAATCATGGCTTTAGGAGAGAGTTAAATGTGGACCATGGAAGAATAGATAAACCACTTTTAAGGTGGAGTTTGGGAAAGTGGTATTTGAACTACATATAAGGATGGGCTGGGGGAAAGATTTGGCTTTAACAATTGTCTGTAGGTGAAAGGTCAATAGACCCTATCAAGGTTATTGGCCGCCATCTTGGACTGGGGGCAAACATTGGGGGCTGACGTCATAATAAACAATGGCCGAATCGAGCTCCGCAGCTGACGATGCAGCGAATATAATCGCCGCGTATAATTTACCTGCGTCGTAAGAAGTGTACCTAGGTGTGCAGAAGAGACCCAAAGGTAATGTTTTTTGAATATAAACAAGTATTCTATCTTTGATTTTCACTTTAATGACGTAATTCGCATATTTATTCAAGGTTGTCAGAACCACGTGGCCGAAGGAAACGCTTTCTATATTTTGGAGGTGGTCATGTTTTGCATTGCCCTGGCTATATGCGGCATATTTCTGTACTGTAATTATGTTCCCCAAACGAAGTTGGGGAACATATTGTTTTTACTCTGTTTCTTATTATTATTAAGGTCTTCAGTCTCCAACGGAAGACCTTCTTGTTATTCTTCGGTTTCTTTTTCCCTATTATTAAGGTCTTCCGTCTTCAGCGGAAGACCTTATTGTTTTTCTTCGGTTTCTTTTTCACTTTTATTATTATTTTTTTTTCTTACCGATTTTGTGCACGCGATTTCTCGAAAACGGCTCAACAAAATCTTATGAAACTTTCAGGACTTATGGAACATTACTTGAACCTTATGCGTTTTTTTCGTTTTGATGACGTCACTTCCGGTCTAGACATATCGTCGATTTTCTGATTTTTAAGGGTCATTTTGTCCACAATTTTCCCGACAAACGGCTCTAGATAGAAACTTCAAACTTTGAGGTTAGGTAGAGCTAAGTTTGGAAAGGTGCATAAGGTATATCAAATTTACCGCAAATGACGCACGTCGGCGCTCGCTATGGCCCAAAAATAGTCGTTTCGCGAATTTCAAATTTTTTATACCTTTTCTACGATATTTTTTTACCTGAAAATATTTTGTTAAGACATATAGAACAAAAGAAGTGTAGAATTCCAAGATCTTTTAAATGATATCTCAAAAAAAGGGCTGGCCCCTAAAATTAAGGCACTAGAGGGGCCGAATGTTTTTTTTTTATATCTCAAAAAGTATTGAGAATTTGTAATACGTCAAAGAAGCAAAGTTGTTCAAAATGTCAAGCTTTATCTAGTGGAGTCGTCAAAATACGTCCGCCGTTGTCACTTCCGGCCAAACCGGAAGTAGTCGGAAAACGCGTATTTTGGCCGTTCTTGACAGGTTCTTGGATAACATATGTTTCTGGGAGCATAAAAATTAATTTTCCGTCCGTCGGCGTCACTTCCGGTCAAACCGTAAGTAGCCAAAAATGGCTTATTTTAAAGGTTTTTGATGTAAAATTGAAATTATAAAGTGACTGGAGACGACTTAGCTCATTGCTTTCTTTTTTTATGTCACTTTCGGCACTTCCGGTCAAAACCGGACGGAAGACCTACTCGTTGCTTTGCAACGAGCTTTGCTCTAGTTATTATTATTATTATTCCAACCGATTTTGTGCAAGCGATTTCTCACAGATGGCTCGTCCGATTTCTACCAAACTTTCAGATCTGAAAGATATTCAATTGATCTTGATAGGTTTTTCTCCTTTTTGATTATCTCACTTCCGGTCGTGAGATATGGACGATTTTCTGATTTTCAGAGGGTCGGCTTGTCCGGGAAACTCCTCCGAAACGACTTAAGATATGGACTTGAGATTTTCAGGGAAAATAGAGGAAGGTTTAGTGAGTTGTAATTGGGTCTCCAAATTTTTCTAGCGCAAAAGGCACCGGAGTTCGGTAGGGCCGAAAAAATGTCTCAGAAATATCTCACAAAATTTGACGCATTTTGTCTCATATCTTCACACCTGTTCATAATTTGTTAAAACATATTGAAGACAAAATGTGCAACATCGCAAGACCTTTCATTTGATGTCAAAAAAATAGGGCTTACCCTCCAAATTAGGGGCTAAGAGGGGCCAAAAGTCTTTTATCTATAACTCTCTAATGATCAATATTTTGTTATACATTACTGAGCAAAAGTATTCATCTTAACAATTTGATGCTTACTATATAAGTTGTTTGAAAATTGGCTTATCTGAATTCTAGATATTAATATTTGAAAATCTGAAGCGGGCCCCAGATGGCGGCTGCCTTTGTCAATTCCGCCATTTCGCAACTGGGGTTTATGGAGGCAGCTGAGCGTTTGATTAAACCATTCTGACATATGGATTCATGAAATGTAAAAAAAACTAATTGGACTTTCACGTAGTAGTTCGTTGCAATTCAGTGTCAATCTTAACACTTAATTTCTGTTTCACTACTTGAGTGTAACTGGGCTAGATACGATATGTGTAATGTATACAAAGACTTTTTAAACGTCGAAATAAAATAAAGGCGATAAGAACGTTTTATTTATCTTATTTCATTGAAGCTATCACACCTATTTAATAGATAAGTTCAAAGAAAATGCGCGAATATTTACTCGTGGCGTTTGGCGCAAATTATTAATAGTGACCCGCCTTTTATGATTCTTAGACAGGTGTACTGTTGCAAAAGTATACACACAAGTATATTTAGAGCAGTACTCCCAAAAGCTTAATATTTACATTCAGTGTAATTTTCCTTATGAAATCCGTAAGAAATCTACGACATTTTAATGTCTATAACACACGCGAAACCTTGTCACCGCGCGTTAGAATACACAGTAGGAACTATATGCATTTTCAATACTCTAGGAACACCAAAATGTAAAAAATTTTATTTCAATTTAATGAAAATCTATAACCCTGAAAAATCAACCTAAAAATTAACGTTATGTGCGTTAAGAATTGATTTGTCACTTTTTTTCCTCGCAATGTTTGTTTGCGTTATTTAACTTTGCAACGTCATTTAACGTCATTTGACGTCACAAACGGCTCTTACATCTATTAACCACGGCAGTTTTGAAGGGCGCTAAATTCACATTTAAGATTAAGAAAAAAAGCAATTATGAAGATGGAAAATTAGAGAATGTAAATATAAGCATTGAATTCATATTTTGGGATGTCTTCGGTCCTATAACACACCGGGCCATACCGACAAAATATAAATTCAATTTGTCGGCACGGCCAGGTGTGTTATAGGACCGAAGACAACCAAAAATATGAATTCAATGCTTAAATGGTTTGCGCGTTGGGGATAAAAGAGAAAAAGGCAACATGGGTTCAATCCTCTTTGCAACAAAAATTTTGAATCACTTTTCAGCTCGATTTTACGAGATTTTTTTTCCTGAATCGAACGGAAGACCTCTCGTTGCTCGCAACGAGATCGTTTCTAGTTAAGGTCTTCCGTTTCCAACGGAAGACCTTATTGTTTTCGTTCGGTTTCTTTTTCTCTATTATTATTATTATTCTTCCAACCGATTTTGTGCACGCGATTTCTCAGAAACGACGTGGCCGATTTACATGAAATTTTCATATGTAATAGCTAATCAATCGATCTTGATGGATTTATAAGCGTTTTTATGACGTCA